GCTGGACTACATGAGTACTGCATGAGCAAGGCACGGCAAGGCAATTTTATTTGTATAGCGCTTTTCATACACAAGGCAGACTCAAAGTGCTTCACATCATAACATTTCATAGAATAAAGTGAAATAAAATGCAGGAATTAAAAGACAATTAAAAGAGCAGGACTGTCAATGTGGATCATGATGGCTTCTCATAGCCGACTGAAGCTGCTGACTAACTATCAATTAACCACTTAAAGTCCTTCTTTTATTAGAATATTCTTACCATTTTGCTGTTCATTTTTTTATTTTACATTAGGTTTTTATTGTTTATTTGGTTTAGCCTGTTTTAGTGTGGACGCAGCATTATATTAAACTCCTTTTTTAAATAATCATTTCAGTAAATCTTATGACTGAAGAAAAAAGTAATATCACATAGATCGTTCGTTACTTGCTTGCCTCATGTAACGTTACATTAATGGCATGTGTACGTGTGAAACAACGGCAGCACAGTTCCCACAGGCTTTCACCCACTCGTGTTTTATTTTATCCCACTTTGTGGATGTCATACCCGCTTCGCTTTGGGTTTTTTTTGTCTCTCTGGCACCGCCAAGTGAGAAGGGTATCTCCGAGTGTGAAGCGCTCCCTGCTCTACTCCTCGCTGAAATCACCCTGCAGTAGCAGCATGGCAATTCTGCTCCTCTATCTTTCCTCTGCATCATGTTTACCTAGCAACAAGCATCACCCGCGGCCGGCCATCCCATTGGTCATTTGAAAACGCGCCGGAGACCAATGGCAGGGCTGTTGCCATGGTACAGCGTGTAGTTGCCGGGTGGAATTTTGCTGCAAGGCACGTGAGTCTTGAGTCTGCTTGCCTCCTCGCGCTGCCGCTGTAATCTCCGCTGTCTGGTCGTTAGTGCAGCTGAACGTGATACGGTGGAAGCTCGTCAGTAATTCCGTGAAGGGAAATACGTATCGGTAATACAGGCGTTTCAGAACCAGCAACAGACAGGAGAGAAAGAAGCCGTTTACGCAGACCACAGGAAGCGGCTGCGTCTAATTCCACAGCGCTGTTGAGAAGCAGCTTTTCTTTTTTCCCCCTTCTGCCTGTGCAATATGCTGTATCACTACCCAACAATGTACCGAGGCAGGATTTGAGGTTATAACGAGGTTTAACGCTATCAGAACCATGCCTGACATGGTGAATCAAACAACTTAAGTCATCAATAAAAGTACATTAATAAAAGAAAAACTGCTGTTGAAAAAAAGAAGAAAAAAGACAAGAAAAAAAAAAAAAACGATTCTGTTTGTAAAAGCAAAAAAAATCGTATTCTTCATATGCCTAAATTACTTATTACTGCAATAGTTTATGTAAATGTATAGATAGATCCTGGAAAACTTTTAAAATGTGGATTCCAGCAATTATGTCAAATTATTTCTGTTGCGGACTCTCCGACAATGAAACCCGTTATTTTATGCAGGACATCGGGTCAACAAGTGCAGCACTGTATAAATACATCTCATAATTGCCAACATATTAGTTCTATGATTTCAACCCTGGATATAAAGAGTGCTTTGTTTGTTCTTTTCACCATGGGATTGTACTTTCAGTACTATTTATTTGTCTGTCTGAAAAAATAAGTTCTTTTCATCATTTGTGTTGAAGGGCCTTTGCCTGGTAACAAGTACTTGTTTGGTACAAACTCCCTTATACTCAACAAAGAAACTAATGAACTGTGTGCAGGTCAGCCATTGTGTGTGTTTATACTATACTAATATGCGGTCATCCCCAGGACAAACGCACAGACACACACTATTTCACCTGTTGCTTGTCGGTCTGTAATTGTGGAGCTGGTATAATTGTGGGCTTAGCATGGCATAAAAATGTGCTTCTCCTCCGTACAAAGAAGTATGCACACAGTAGGGAGCAGAGAGTAGAGTTAAGCTTTGTCTTTTTATCTGAAGATATATATCTGAAGATATATATAAAAAGACAAAGCTTTTTGCCCAGCCACCTTCCTGCGTCCCATCGTCCCGTCTGTCCAGTCAGAGCACAGGTGAAATCGGCCTGTTTGTGGCCGAAGATTATGTGTCGAATTGACACTGAAAAATCAGCAGACTCACTTCTAGATGTTTTCGCTTCCATTTTTCGTGCACCTCAGAACATCCTTTTCTGCGTCTAGTCAGCGGTGGCGCTATGGGTTTTGTATGTAACCACATATTTTACAGTTTATGTCATTTGTTTACATTGTATTCCCGGCGTACAATTCACGTGTTTATCGAAAGGCTATAGTACCAACATTCTATTTTTACTTGCAAATTTCAGCCACGAAATCAACAGTTTTTTACTAATACTTTTATTATGTCACTCTATGGTGTACGGTAATGGAGATTTCTGTACACCTTTTTGATTGTTTGTTGTGGTGTTGACAGATATGGGAGTGATTGTCTTTCGTGAATACAAGGGATGGTAGATTCTAGTTCAACGAAGCGGTCACTGGCAGGTCATGATTCATGCGTCTTATGTGGTTTTAGAGTAACCTTGCATCCCGTCTCCTTGTTTGGTCGAGGGTAGAAAACCTCTCTCTAGAGAACCTCTCCTTCTCTGTAATTTCATTTTATTTGTAGCACTCCTGTACTTTATTATGGATTTTGTTCTTGGGATTTATCTATTATGTCCGCTACTCCCAAGTCCAATTACTAGAGGGGCATGGACAGAACTCAAGATCGGATGATCATACTGGCATTTGCACTCAGCGTTGGCCTTTCCGCACAAGTTTGATAGTATTTGGGTCATAGCGGAGCTTCTTGTGGGCCAATCGCATAGAAAGTCCATGCAAACACATCCATTGTCTTCCAAGTGGGGCGCCGTGCTTTACATCATCCCGGCTCCCAACTCCAAAAGAAACCATTCACTCTATGCTTTTTTTTTAAAGCAGACCACCTGTAGCATTGCATCTGCATGTGATTAACATCGTCATTGTACCTGGTCCCCACGCTGCATTGCTCTATAATCTCACTTCCTGCTTGGTTATGGCTTATCTCTTAATGCAATGCCTATAATTATAGCATGTTATTAGGCCACCCTATCTTATTTTAGCTGTGGCTGGTCAGCTGTTTTGTCGGTGTGTGGGAGTGCGATGATTTGAACCATGGGTTCTGGAGCCTGGAGATTGAGTAGATTACCATGGAAAGCTGCAAGAGCTGGAGTCTATAAGGGACATTATAAATACAGAATTCAGTAAAAACATGGTTTGGTTTGGAAATAAACTACATTTTGCAAACTATACTTGACACATTGGAACAGTTATTACAACATCTCCAAACAAATAATTGTATTTGTTGTACATTGTTCAATACCATTATATGGCTTTATGTGTAGTATTAGTGTATTACGGCTCATATACTATTATTGAACCTACTGCTGTTTCAGTCTGATGTGCAGAACTGGAGGACCTTACCTTTGTACAGTAATTACAGTAAGCAAGTGGGCTTTTCACCATTCCCCGATTTTATTAAATAAAAAAGAGTGATTCATCTGCGCAAGTTAAAGCTAAAAAAATGACATTAAAATAACCGGTGACACGTTTGTCTGTGCAGTGTTAGTTGCGTTCGAGGGTACATTCTCCTTTAAGGAGAGTCAGCTGGTTTATGACACGGTTCGTGTGCAAAGCTGTTCCCAGGCAGCATTGTGCCGGATTTAGCCGTAATGGTTGGATAGCAACAGTAACAACTTTTAGCTTTGGCTGGTTAGAAAGGAAGGAGAAGTCGCACATCTCAGCTGTAGAGAGTCACTCAGTGACCATGTGCTCATGGAAGCCTTTCGCCCCGCTCTCTCCCCCGCTCCCCGCGCTTTATCTCCACCCATACCCCGTCGTTCTCCCTCCCTCTCTCCCCATTTCCACCTGACATCTTCTAACTATTTCCGCGTCATTCCTGCCTCGCGCCGTTTGAAGAGAGACTGGGAAACTAAGCCGACTGCCCCTCCCACAGACCCATCCGCTACCCAATCACGGGCAAGGATGGGACTTTCTTTAGCCAATGGCGTTCCAGCTGCCACCGCGTCGGGTAGCAACAGAGCCCACAGCGGGCGCGTGCTGAGTGAGGGTAGAGGCTGCGTTTACCAGCACAGTAGAGTTCAAACATTTTCACTTTCTCATTTTCAACCACTGAATGGAGCAAATGTGTCTTTTGTGTGATACACTGCGGCAAAGATAGAACGGAGTTAGCCTCTAACTATTATAACAGGTCTGTCGTCTTTGCCTAAGTCACATAAAAGGGTATCACAACAGCATTCAGTGTATATCTATTGTCTCAAACTTCGTAAACCAGCTCTTTCTTTTACATTTTGCAGTTAATAGGGCATTATTTATTTTGAGGTATGATGTTTTTCTTTGTCAATCAGGCCTCTGTCCACTTGTCCTTTTCTCCACTCCCTCAAGCCCAGGTCTCCTTATAAACATTGCACAACGCCCTTGCTTCTGATCACACCACAATGTATATATACCGGATCAATGTGAAGCTGTCGTTTTGCTAAACTGTATCTAGTGTATTTTAGAATGTACTTCTGTCAAGTTTTGAATAGTGGTAAAACCTTTCAATGTCCTGCAGGAAGTGGTCTTAAGTATGTTGCAACGCGTTTTTGTCAGAGCTGTATCCACAAAACTGGATAACGGGTTTAAGTAAAGGTTGTCTATGTATGTGTGAATATAAAGTTCCAGTATATATATCCCGCTGTTACTATAAATGGCCAGGAGAGCAGAGGTCTGCTTGGAACAGACTACTGTGGTCTGAGGGAAGGTTACTGTCCCGCTTATTCGCGTAGGTCTTTGATAGCGCGCCATAAAGTCCGTCTGAGCCATGGTTAATGGGGAATACCCCGCGAAATGCCACTAAGGCAGTGGTTTCGTCCCGTATGCACATCTGTCCTGGTATCACCGGGACTACGCGGAGCTGCGTCAGACAGGCCGGCTCCGACCCCCGCCACGGGCACATGGTACGGTCCCCATCGCAGGGTGGGGGAGCTGTGTGGGAGAGGAGCACAGATTCCGTCTAACGGAGAAGCACGGAAAGGGAAACGGGCGAGAAACATGAGTCGAAGTCGCCCTTGTGAAGGTTTCCACCTTGAAGGAATAAAAAATTTCCCGCAATTCTAAGAAGGACGCGCAAAAGAGGACGTTGAATGTGAGAGAAAAGAGAGCGGAAGCAGACGGAAGAAGAGGCGCGTCAAAGGCGTCTGACAGCAAGCTCGGGAACTTCGCTGGATCTGGGTTCTCTACTTTTCAGACGTGTCTCAAGCTTTGGTTCGGTGGTGTTCGGACGTTGTTTGTGATTTTTTTTGGGAGGGGGTGATTTTATTTCGGCGAGATTACCTCAGACTTCCTCTTGGATCGTGTTACGCGTTGGTAAACAGAAGGCGCCGTCGGAGTTTGGAAGTACGATGCAGGCCGCCAGCGGCTTGTCCTCTGCGTTTCTTCAACACGGGAAGACATTTGCCATCTAACCCCGAACACCGGATTTAAACTTTTGTCTCCCCCCCGGCTTTGTCACAAAAAGTGAAAGGTGTGCAGTTAAGGCGCATTGCCCCTGCTTGTAATCACGCTGTTCCTGCAAACCGCCCCGGCGGCCCGTGAGTTGTGGATATCCGGTGAGCGGAACTTCCCCCCCCCCGGAGCTGCACGTCTCCGTGGAATCAACACGTCGCGGCGAGCTGGTTCGTTTACAGGCGTTTGTGTAAACGGCTTGTTGTCACAGATACGGCCCCTGCGCGGCGTGCGGGGATTACGTTATTGTCTGGCTTTTCTAAAAAAAAAAGAGAAAAGGGCTCCTGTTCACCTTGGCAGAGGCCAGCCACCTCCCGCTGGAGGCGGGTGAGGGGGAGCGGAGGCCTCGGGGGGGCTGTTGGCTGTCCGGGCCCTGTGACATTACCAGCGGAGGGCCGCGTGTGTCCGTGTCACTGGGATTAATCCGAGCTGTAGCATCATTCCCCCACTGGGTCCAGTGACGGGTCCAGCCCCAGAACGCGCCTGTAATCGGAGCTATATTTAGCGTAAGGGATGGGGTAAAAGCAGGCAGCGGGAAACCCAACTCCCCTCCACTTCCTTCTCTTGCCCCCCTGCTGTCACACTGCCTCGCTCAGCCGCCCCGGCAGCATGCTGGGCGAGCCTGGTTAGCACACACGCGACTTGCAGCTAGTTAATGTATTTTCAGAAGTAGGGTGGAATAATAACAACAATTGGATGAACTTATTCCGCTGCGAAATAAAGGATCCGTTTGAACCATGCTGACCACGGCGTCTTGTTAACCCGGGAATACTAGCTGCACTGTGTTCTACTGGTCAAGGCTGCACCGGACACACAAAATACCCTGTACTGGATTACGACTAAGATGTCTGAAGAACTATTAGCTGTGTATTTTTGGTTGAACCTGCCCTGGACTAAGTGAACCCATCACAAGCAAGTCGTACTCAGAGTAACCACCCATTACCATACAAAGAAAGAAAAGGCCTACTTTTTCTGACTAATTTAAAATATCAGTCACCAGCGCCCTGGAGCAGTACTAATCTCCAGCACACAGGAAGAATGCATGAAACTGCCGAAACCAACAAAATAAAAAAGCTAACCTGAATAACCAAATATTCTAACTTCCCAGACTCCCCATACCCACAGAGAAACATAATATATATGTAGAATGAGAGATCTATATCTATAGTGTAACTCCACCGAAGACAGAGATTACATCCTTTTATATTTTTACTCCAGAGAGACAAGCTGCCTGTACACCAGTTGGTTGCCTTAGAAACCACAGTCACAAAAAAGGAAAAGAAAGAAGCCAGAGAAGAAGGTGCCTTTTGATTGGTCGGTCGGTTTCCCACCATTTCAAGATTCATTGATTCAGTTGGATGTAAACTGCTGAAGCGAACTCGGGGATTGAAAAGACGTATCTCATGACAGACTGAAACTCCCTTCACGAGCCCCACCCACCCATCAAAGCGTTTTGATTGACAGTGTTTCCCTGCTGGATTGATTACTTGTCGATCATCTCCATGGTGATCACATCATCATCATCATCCGTGGAGGACAAGCCCGTGCCCTCTCTCAGGATGGTCCAAACAGAACCCTGGATTGCCTCTGCCCTGCTGCGCAAGAACAAGAGTCAGTACACACACACACACACACACACACAATCCCATAGATAAAATCTCTCGCCCTTGTACACCCACAAGTGTGTGTGACTACTGTCATGGCAATCTCTGGTGATACCTGTGTGTGTGTGTGTGGGGGGGGGGGGAGGGAGGTTATAATCTAGTTTCTCCCAGTAATTCAAAAAGGTGCAATGGGTTTTAGTTGGCATTTTACAAAGGTGTTCTGTGTATGTCATGTTGCCGCGGTGCTGTGCGTGTGTTGCCGTCGAATTGTAGTGCTGGAGTTTTCAGTTTGTCAAGTGCAGTCAGTCAGACGACGACACTTCCGTTCACCTGTTAGCTTAGCTTCCCTATGAAGCCTGTCACACTTTGGATTGTGGATGAAATAAGACTCTGCAAATGAGGGAAACATGGCGGATGCAAAATTTGACAACACAACAATTTATGGGAGAGAAAAACAGAAAAGGTAAGCATACTCAAATGGTCGCAAGAATCCAAAATAGTTATGTGTAAGCAGTTTAAACGATTAATTAGAAGCGAGATGCACACACAAAAGAGCTGGCTCATGGGAGTTGCTGGCTCAGTTGCAATTCTAAGCTACAAGTACACATAAAACCACAGGTGTCAAACTCGAGGCCCGCGGGCCGGATTCGGCCAGCCGGGGGGGGGTCCAGTGCTTCCCGTTCATGACTTTTTAATGGTCTGACCTCAAATGAGCAAAAAGAACCGGACCAACAGCAGAGACAGTAGCAGAGAACATCATTTGAAATAGCTAGTTCAAAGTTAGCTAAAAGTAGTGGATAGTTGGCTAAATTGAGGTAAAAGTAATGGGTAAACCGTTGAAGTATCTTATTAAAAGTGGCGGATGAACAATATATCTAGTTAGCTCTACTTAGCTAAAATGGATGGGTTAACAGTGTAGGTAGTTAGCTAAAGGTTAGCTAAAAGTAAGCAATACATAGTTGACCTTGAACGCTAACTAACCTTAAGATCTTATCTAAGACCTAGCTAAGGGGAGACGTGACTAACTGTCCTCACATTAAGTCGGTCTTAATATTCACGCAACAGACCTGATAACTACACTAGTCTAACGTGACAATCTGAGAAAAGTCTATGGCCTTAACCACTCCTAAGTTTATGCAACATTGGCCAGCCCGGTGGCACACGGGCTCAGGTAATGTATTGCATTTTTACAAACCGTTGTCTTATTTCGCGGGGGGTTATTCTTGCCCTTTGACGGCAATGTTTATTTAAATGAAGCGGATATCTTTGTTGACATGAATCTGTGATCAGAGTGTTGATAAGTGAATCAAACGCTCCAAAGAAAAGCTCCCGTTCAGTCGTTTCAATTTCAAGCAGCCCTCTGGACTTTGTTGCTGTCAGTAGCGCTCAGCGACCGGTTGTGCGTCGGCTCTTCTCCGCTACATCGCCTCTGTTCTGCCGGGGAAGGCTCGGTGTTCAACAACCAACGGGGTTTTAAGGGACAGACGGGTGATTTTATCAGGGAAAACAGTGGCAGTCATTCAACTCATTTAGCGGATATCAATAGTGCAAAAGGTTCGCCTAAATCTTCACAGCAAACGTGACTTCGGGTGAATTCAGTAGCTGTCGATCGTAGCACATGATCTTCGTCAGGAGACTGCGTTTTGGTAGAAGGATTCATATATTTATTTTGGTTTGTTTACTGCACTCAATGAAATAGGCCGCATTATCGCACAACGTGGTAGGAAGGCACTACTATATTGAAATGTAAATAGTTTAATTCCTTCTGATTTTGTTTTGATCTGTATCACAGGGTAAAACAGTGTGATTTAATTTCACTTAAAACGTTTAACAAACGGCACTCGTTTCCTCTTCTGGTGTTATTTCAATTCCTAGTTGGACTCTCACCGGCATTCTTAGTGATCGTTGTGGAAAAACTTGATAGGCTGCAATATTGTATTAGTCTTCTACTACTTGCCATTAAGCTGGCATTATACTTCACTGACTTCGGTACTTGTTGCTCAATATTTCTCCCTTTCTATATTTCCACAGAACCTCCTGATACAGATCCCAGTTAGTTAGTTAGCTTTTACTCCACTTTGCAGCCTATATGAAGCCCAGAGGTTTGACCTCACCACACTTGTTTAAACATCTTTGTACAGTTTCACTGTACACAGCTAGATGGGTTAATGCTGTCAGTTAAAAAACATTTACTCTGGCGCTCGTCAGACCCGTGGCGTACTTTGGGGCTAACCCTCCTCACTCTAATCGGCAGGTAAAAAGTACACAGGAACTAAACGTCGGTCTTGAGGAGTATTCAATAAATAAAATAATAATAGAAAATAAATTACTTAATAAAGACCAAGAGTGCATACAAACAAAACCCCACTTTGTTTGAGTAGCGACTGGCCCGATCCGATGCTGTGTGGACTCTGATGGAGGACTGTAGCTGCTGCTCTGCTAACGGGCCGCTCACGTGTTAACACGAGGTTAGCCTCCCTCCATACAGCCCGCCATCCACTTCCCCCAAATATGTTTTTGGGCCAGTTTGTGCCGCGGCATAAAAATGGGGGAAGCCTCCACGCTGTTTGCCGTAGCGGAGCGGTTCAGATGTTTTGAATGGCTCCAATAAACTACTATTTCCCCATTTACATACACCGATGATGAGATATCGCCGTGTGCGGCTGCTACGTCTCGGTTTTACATATACACTCAGTAGCCGGTTTTTCAGCTACACAAACCAAAACTGAGGCGGCCTAATACCACGTCCCAGTAATAAATCCTCCAACGGGGCTTGACTGGTAATAATAGAATGTGTGGTGGTTAACTTCAACACTAATTTGTGGCAGTTTCTTAATAATTGTAAAGTGTACATCAGGCTGGTGTGAGACAGCACAGTTGGCTTTGGCACAAGTTGGAACTTTTTGGTGTTTTTAAAGCTCAGTTGCATTCTGATGTCGGTCCACACACATCGTGTATCGTTGTGCGCTCAGATCTTCGTTTTGACGTTTTACCTCTTGGTCTCATTACATCTCTAGATCGAAGCTCCATGTCGCTGTTTAGGATCCAGAATATTTCAATCAAGTGATTATAATACCAATCCCCTGCTTTTATCTCCCATCCATGCTCAAGAAACACTATGAACTCTTGCCACTGACTCAATATGTGTTTAACTATTGAGCTTTTGTAAAACATTTATGCTCCTGGTTTTCCTGGTTCGCACTTGGTTTGATATTGCTAGTCACAGATATAGGTCACTGTATGTGAATCAAGTGTAATCAACCCATGCTGAGCTTAAATAGCATAAACCAATAGCAAGTTTTTAGACCAGGAACAAAGAACTCCAGTCCAATCAATGCTGCCTTCGTGTTGTGCCCTTTTGCTGTGTTGTGTTGTTCTGCAGCAACAGCAACCTCTGAGTTAAACTGTATCCAGCTATCATATTCTGTCCGTTGTTGGATCTATGTTCACCCATTCTGGAAAATACTGATACTTGTCTGTGGCTCGAGTGGTGTTATCTACAGTGGTGCTGAAATAGATTGGTGTGTACACACTAGTGGCAAAGGGACGTTGGCAACGTTGGCCCTGTATTGTTTCGCCTCATCCAACAACTTGTGGTTAACCAGAACTCCTCGGGTTCTGGTTTTAATGTGCGTTGTTGCCTTGCTGCTCGGAGTGACTCCTAGCAGGTGCCCTAAATATTGTTACGTCATTGTGCATCAACACAACGCGGGTGGAGAGATGAGGCAGTCTGTGGTAAAACGATGGAAATGTGTCATCCGATTGAAGCCGAGAAGGGTTGGAAGACTGGAGTGAGAGATGACGGACGGGTAAATGGAGGAGAGAAAAACCCTACTCCGAGGCAGAGAAGGTTTGAGTGAGCAGGAAGGGTGATGAAGGGAAGGGGGAGGAGAGCGCGGCTGGTAGGGTGGGTTGGGTTGCTAGGGGAGAGTATGTCAGACTGCTGCCGCTGAGAGCCAGGCCTGCTATTGGAAGCTACTTGCTTAGCAGGAGAGAGGCGGAAGAGGAGAGAGAAGTAGCTAATGAGTATTGTAGGTTGGTTGCTGAGACAGCACTGGGTTTATTTATAGAGCGCTGGCCAGCCAGCCCTTAGATACCAACAGCGAATCAGCTGACAGAGAAAGAGGGGGCCCTAGCCAATGGCAGCGCAAGAAGGGGGATGCCAGATTGAGGAAGTGCTGTGAGTGCCTCTCGGTCTCTTAAAGAGACGGTGCGGATTTCTCAGCACTGGGCAGATATTCTCTCCCTCGCTCTAGCAGTGTCATATCTGTAAGCAGGCCAGGACCTGGAGCACCACAACAGTCCCAGTGACGGTGATTGGATTACTTTCCCCACCTTATCCCACGGCCGAGCCCAAGTGCAGCACACACGCAGTTCAACATCAGAGGTTTTAGTTTTTTATTTCACAAATAGGACCTCATCTATCCACAGAGATCTATTATAAACCGACGCTGAGCGGTGAATAGAAGATCTCTCTACACCGTGTAATGGAGATGATAATGGCAAGGACCCTATAATTACTAAAGTTAGGCTATTCTTACACGTTCACAGAAAATGTCTGTCCTGAAAAATAGACCTAATTTTGCGGGCCTGAAATATCTTTAACCTTGACTGCTCAGCATTACAAACAGGGTTTTCCCCGTTTATGTAAATCTATAATAATCAAATTTCCAAGGAACCATTCTAGCCTGCTTTACCCACTCTGACCTGCAGTATTATCAACCAGGCAGGACTCCTTTGTCAGCTGACTGTCGGAGATGAACTGATTGGGTCAACACTTGTCGTAACGCTTGCACAATTAATCTAATATGAATTCAGATCCCATTTTTTCCCCTGCCACAAACTATAGAACAGGATCAGCTGCAATATTGATATTTAAAATGCTTCCTGCTTGCCACCAGGGGGCGTTCAAGATGTTTAGCCTCCCTTTTTCTGTAAACTGTCATACTGCTGCAAGTGCACCAAACAGCACCAGCTTGTGAAAGGTGTTCCTGAATATTTGGAGGCAGTCCAGAGCAGAAGAGGAACATACTGCTTATTTGTTTGGAAAAATCCAAAGCCTCTAAATTCAGGTGAAGAAGACTGTATTTTAAGTCTTTATTTGATGCAAAGATTTGCACGTTAGCAGAAATGTAGTCCAACATGAAAGTGAACCCTATGTTCATCTATGTGCATCAAAATAAAATCAATGTAATAATAGCAATTCAATTAATTATAATGAATCAATTACTCTAATATAAGCTGTGTTGTTGGGATATTTTGGTACGTTCGCTTCATAAAATACAAATGATGAGATCAATTCTTCCCAAATGAACATAGTTGTATATATTATAGAGCACACCCTAATGCAAGACGACTATGTCAAAATGCTGTCTTTTTCGGCATATTTAACAGTGAGTTAGAGCTCCTGATATTTTCAGAAACTTTCACACATTGGGTACACATCTTTTCTCTTCTTTGCACACTGATGGATACTTGCCTTCCATTGTGTGGTTGACATTTGCCACCTGATGTAGGCGCCGCGCTCTTAAGCGTCTCCACTGGTCGCCCATTGGGGGAGAGGCCGTCACATCCTAAGAGCCACTCCCTGTCCATTGTAAACCAATTCAAGATCGAGCCTTTCTCTGATTACTTTTAAAGTAAAATAAGGATTTGCTCTCAGCTCCCGACAAACTTTTATTCATTTTTTTAAAGACAGATTGAAGTCAATGGGGGGGGGGGGGTTTCTGATTGTTTAACGCCTGTTACATTCTCCTGCCAGGGACGTCTTTTTGGGAATACCGCTGAAAAGTGAAGCCAACAGTTAGCTTAACATTTGCTGACTTGCTAGTGGAAGTCTGAAATGTTTACTTTACGGGAGGAGACGGGCCGATGCAAAACTCAACAGCCATCACGGCGTCGTGCCGACCAACAGCTGCAGTGTAGCTGGGGTGTGTCCGGGTGTGTATGCGGGTGTGTCCCGGTGTGTATGCGGGTGTGTCCCGGTGTGTGTCCCGGTGTGTCCCGGTGGGTATGCGGGTGTTTCCAGGGGTGTGTCCGGGTGTGTCCAGGGTGTATGCGGGTGTGTCCAGGTGTGTGTCCGGGTGTGTGGGGGGTGTGTGTCCGGGTGTGTCCAGGTGGGTATGCGGGTGTGTCCAGGTGTGTGGGGGTGTGTCCAGGTGTGTATGCGGGTGTGTCCAGGTGTGTGTCCGGGTGTGTCCAGGTGGGTATGCGGGTGTTTCCAGGGGTGTGTCCGGGTGTGTCCAGGTGTGTATGCGGGTGTGTCCAGGTGTGTGTCCTGGTGTTTCCGGGTGTGTCCAGGTGTGTGGGGGTGTGTCCTGGTGTTTCCGGGTGTGTCCAGGTGTGTGTGGGGGTGTGTCCAGGTGGGTATGCGGGTGTTTCCAGGGGTGTGTCCGGGTGTGTCCAGGTGTGTATGCGGGTGTGTCCAGGTGTGTGTGCGGGTGTGTGCGGGTGTGTATGCGGGTGTGTCCAGGTGTGTGTGCGGGTGTGTCCTGGTGTGTGCGGCTCTATCCGGCGTCGGTCCACATCTCCGCCAATGGAGCCACTGAACTGGAACAGGCAGAAGTTGTGGAAGGAGCTCTTTGATTGGCTGGTGACTCACTGATTGAACCTTCTAGTGCAGTTTTTCTACTTCAGATTTCTTTTCTTTTTCGTCATAATGAAGGGGTTGCACATTGTAGCTTAATTTTGGCAGCCAGCCGACTGGGTGGTTGCCTTTGTCTGTTCAGCTTTCAACTGACACAATTTTCATCTTTATTTACCTTCCACCTAGTAGGGCTGCAGGATTAATTGAAATAAAATCTTAATTCAGGCCTGTGTGCTTTCCCATTGTTAGCAGTCATACAAAGACAGCAATGACAGTGGAGCCGGCAAAAGTAACGGCGCAGTTTTTTCAGGCAAATGAAACCGTTACAAAAGGCCCCTGAGAATTCCCCTCACCAAGACATCCACCACCTTTAAAAAAACGACTCATTACCTCACCTGAAGGTCCGTCTCTATTCAACGCTGCAAAACAAAGGGCGGCTGGTCTACTGGACAAGCACTAAAAGCCTTCCCACAGCGGTTCTCCATGTTGTTCTTCCTGCCCAAATGTTAAACACACAGGCTTCATCTGGCTGCGCCGCTGCTGTGTTTTGGGTTTGTTTAAACACACTGGGGGAAAAGTGAATAGGCGGCAGACCTGGTGGTGTACAAAGAGTTGTTTTGGAATCAATATTGGCCTCCTTAGGATTCGATAGCAGCTGCTTTAAAGTCATTGTGGAGGAGATGTACAGTGTAAAATATCCTGTCCAAAATATTAGAATACAAGTTGTATCACTGTACCGGCAAAACAAAAATTTGCCTCGCCGTTGTCTCTTAAACACGTTGTATTCTGGTTCTGACTCTTAACAGCAGTATTATTAATGCAATTGATTTAATCAAATATTCCACATTTATTTATTTTTTGGTGCAAGAGTTGCCGTTTTCTGATGTTATTTATGTGTTAGAAAGAAGAACTGTTTGTCAATTTCTCAGAATAGTTATCAATGGCAACAATTACCGACGAGCCCTCTTATGCTAATCATTAAAATAGAATTAAATGATGAACTCGGTGAGTAAGGACTGCTTCTCCACCTAGACGTAGTTGGTAGATGGCGATAAATCAGCGACTGTGCTGCTCTGGGTTTGGGATCTGGGATCAATTGAGATTCCTCGTTGCCATGTTTGACCGACGATGGAGGCTGGGGACGGATTAGAATGTCGGGGTTTCTGTCTCATCATCTCTCTCTCTCTCTCCCGTTCTCTCTCCCCAGGTGTAAGCAGCTCAGGATGTCCGCCCACCTCCTCCTCCTCCTCATCCTCCTCCTCCTCCTCCACTGCCCAGGGCTTCTCCCTCGCTGAGCCAGCCATGACCAGCCAGCACACGCATACACACCCCTCCTTCAGCTCCATCCACTCCATGGCCGAGCAGCAGCAGGTAACACACACACAGGGAGTGATTGTACTTTGCCTGTTGATTGTCCAGAGAACATCGGAGGGGCGTGTTTCTTCAATTCACTTTTTTATGTAAAAGAATGTCTTAAATGCCACCAATGATGAAACTGGAGAAATCTCTAGATCATAAAATATAATTACATAAGGTTATTGAAAAGTACTTGTACTTGTTTATTGTGATCAACTTTATTTAAATCAACATTCTCAGAAACCCACAAACAGAAATGTATGATTGTAATGAAAGAAAAACATGAAACAAACAAAATTGTATTAAACATTCAACATTCACTGCAAAAGTCCTCTGTATCTCTTTCAGTTTGATACAAACCTCCTGCAGTTATTGAGATCACCATTGGGCTTAAATATCCATGAAATATGTCACTTATGGAAAAGAGAAAAAGGTTGAGAACATCAGGGTTAACGAACTGTGCATGATCGTTTTTTAGAGCCACTTCATACATGAAGCTTTTCCCTTTAAATGTTCAAATATGATTCTGTGACTTTTTCACAAGATATTTTGGTTGGAACTGAAATTCAAACTAATGTGAGAAACCACAAAAGAATACTTTATAAAAAAGTACTTACGGCCAACTTTAGTGTTGACTTTACGGTGTTCTGTCCCAATGAGCTTCTCCTTTTTGCTAAATCCTAAATCAGAATGTGTCCATTAGAGCTAATCCAAAGGCTTTGAAGCTGACAGCCAGAGGCAGCGCCATGGTAATAATAAATGCCAATGCCCCTCTCTCTCCTCAGGGAACGCTTGAGGTGCTTTTAGAGAGCCAGCGGTCGCCATGTCAACATGGCTCTACCGTGAGGACATTTGCTATTTCATTACTATTCTAACAAATGCTTCAACCCGGAGCGTCAGTCGAGACATTTGCACTAATGTCAGTGCTCCTTTCTGATATCAAAGAGAAAATAATGCTGAATGCACGACACTGAAAGCACCTCCCCCCCCTGGGGGCACGAGGCCTGGTTTTCAACCTTTCCACCCTCGCAGAGACAATCAAGCGATAATATATCGATTCCAGTTCAGGTACGCTACCGTTTATCAACCGGAGCAGTTCCCTTTGCTTTCGTCAACGCCACAAGACTCCATTGACAAAAACTGCAATTTAACCCCAACGAAGACCAGTTTCCGGTCCGCCGCTGCTTTGTGTGGTTGTTTTTGTTTAATTCCAACCAGCCAAAGTCACACAAACACATAAACAGATGGAGTTTCCTGTTTTAGTCGATGGACCGAGGTGCAGACATTTCAAAATTTGGCATACGTTTAGTTTTAAGTGCTAGATGATTACTGTGCACTGACTATTGATAACTTGTACAAACCCACCCTGTGATTTAACAAACACTTTACAGCTTGTATGTGTAGCAATGCTGTCTGGAAGTAGGTGGGATATCATTGATTATTCATTTGACATTCGGCCCACGTTTTGTGTGGCAGTTCGGCGTTTTTAGTTTTCGGAAGAGGTCACGTCTTTCTTGGTCACGATTTTGGCACAAAGTCTGGTGGTAGAAATGGGAACTGCAGGATGACTTGACGCACAATGTTTCCGGTCATTAACAAGTGAGTTGGTGACGTCCGGAAGGTCCCCGAAAGGTTTTCTAGACCCCCGTGTGCTCGAGACGTGTGTGTGACGTGTGGTCGCTCTCTGCAGGTGCTGTCTGATATGACCATACTCCAACGGAGGATCCCCCCTAGTTTCAGAGACCCTGCCAGCGCCCCACTGAGGAAACTCTCTGTTGACCTCATCAAAACTTACAAGCACATCAATGAGGTATGCCGCATGCTGTAACACACACACACACACACACTTGTGTTTGTCTTTTCTCTGGGCGCTCCTTCAGGTTCCCTGTGTGTTGGCCTCTCCTTCCTGAGATGGAGCCGAAGCCGGAGGGGTGTTTGGGGTGGAAGCTGGCCTCGTGAAGAAGCTCCATATATTAAATCTGACTCATTATCAGTATTTGCCCTGAAGGTTTAGGTTCGGCTGATCCTGGTCAACTGAGCTAAAAATGCTGAACTTGGGTTCAAGGGTTTATAACAATGATGGCAGCCTTCTTGTACACGGCTCTCGTGTATCGTTTCAATGAGCTGATAATGTGAGAAAGTGTGAAGGGGACGTCGACCCCCCCTGGCTGAGCAGAGCCGGGAACCTAAGCGGTTTTGGATGTTTCTCTGATCACAGGTGTACTATACTAAGAAGAAGCGGCGGGCCCAGCAGGTCCCTCCAGAGGACAGCAGCACCAAGAAGGAGAGGAAAGTCTACAACGACGGCTATGACGACGACAACTACGACTACATTGTCAAAAACGGAGAAAAGTGGCTGGACCGCTATGAGATAGACTCGCTGATCGGGAAGGGCTCCTTCGGACAGGTGCGAAAATCAAATACACATTCGTGCTAGTTCATAAAACCTTATTGCATTATTATTATTATTATGTATGATATATAACAAAGCAAACCAGCCTGGGACATCTGGGTTTTTTCTAATGGAAAAAATAAATAAATCCTGAAGCGTGCGTTGTTGTTGTTGTTGTTATCATCGCAAGAGATAACCCAGTTGTAACTGTGTGTGCAGGTGGTGAAGGCCTACGACCACCATGAGCAGGAATGGGTCGCCATTAAGATCATTAAGAACAAGAAGGCATTTCTAAACCAGGCACAGATTGAACTACGCCTGCTGGAGCTCATGAACAAGCATGATACTGAGATGAAATATTACATAGGTAAGAACACACACACACCCTTACTAACACATACATTACAGTGGGGTGGGGGAGTATTGGGGTCAGATGTGAAGCATCTGCAGCCAACGGGTGCGGCTCCGCCTACACGTCACTTATTGTCCTCGGAGTGGTGAAGGAGACATTGACTCACACGGCTCTCAACATGGCGGCGCTGAGCCGCCAGCTCGCAGCTATCGGTGCCGATAGATAGAGAGTGTTGCATGCACTGACGTGGACGTAGACAAAGCTGACAACACGCACACAGAGTGACTTCATCCTCTGCTCAGGTGGACATTACATAGAAAGTGGTTAAAGGCCTTTATAAATAGTACACAAAGCCAAGGTACAGTCACATGGAGTCACATTAACATACTTGGCTCACATGCTGATGTGTGAGACGTCATCGAAAGCTCCAAAAGCAAAAGCTAGTCACGTCAAATTCAGCTGTTGTCTTAGGATGACACGAGTTCTGAAGGGCAAGTGGGGAATTTTTAAAGAGCAATTGACAGGAAATAATTTTAATGTTGTCAAGTATCCCTGCCTGACCAGATTCTTCTTCCTGTGTATTTCTTAACCTATTTTCTTGTCTCCCTTCTCCCTCGTGTGTGTGTGTGTGTGTGTGTGTGTGTGTGTGTGTGTCTGTCCACCTGTGTCTGTGCAGTCCACCTGAAGCGTCACTTTATGTTTAGGAACCATCTCTGTTTGGTGTTTGAGTTGTTGAGCTACAACCTGTACGATCTGCTGAGGAACACCAACTTCAGAGGAGTCTCCCTCAACCTCACCAGGAAGTTTGCACAGCAGCTCTGCACAGGTGGGCCCAGGAAACATGAAGCAGGCTTCTATGAGTGTAGCTTGTCGTATTCTGCCTCCTAGTGGACAAAAAGGAAAGAGGATGAATGCAGTTTAAAGTCATCTGCAAAAGAGAAAAGCCTTTTGGTTGCCTTTTCCCTTTTGAGGTGGTGGTTATGTAATTAATGCAGTTTGTAGCTGCTAGAACAACAGAAAGCATTTGATATGTATACATACTCTTAAAAAGGTTTCTAAAGGTTTCTAAACATTTCTAAACGACAACAATATAATCAGCAGAAATGATTATTGTGTCACATATTCCATTTAGTCCTTTAGTCCATTGAGAATGTGTTAAATGGAGTTTATTATGTCTTCAGTAGGTTGCGGAAATGAACATCAACAAATTTGATCTCATTCATATTCTACTCAATTCTTAATGTCTTTTACTCATGTTTCAAAATTTTGATAAGATTCTAAATTATATTTAAAGTTCAATAAATTCAATACTTTAAAAAGATATTGCAAAAGTTTAATAATTGCAGGATGTTTCCAAAATCAATTGCATTAGTTAATCCCGATGTCATAACCAAAATAAGGTGATTATTATTATGCAGGCCTATAATGAGGCCAATGTCTCTTCTTGTCCACAGCGTTGTTATTCCTGGCTACTCCAGAGCTGTCAATCATCCACTGCGACCTGAAACCAGAGAACATCCTGCTGTGTAACCCCAAAAGATCGGCCATCAAGATTGTGGACTTTGGGTCCTCCTGCCAGCTGGGACAAAGGGTGAGCCGCATCCACACACAAACCTCTCTGATAGGACGCTTTCAGTACATTCAGTAGTTTATTTCATTTAAAAGGATTCATGATAGATGCCTCCGCCTGCGACACTGATTCACATTATGGTTTGAAAAGCAAAAGAATGAGCGCTGGATAAATGATTCTCACGTGTCCCAGTTAAGGTGGTAATTCTGGATTTTATTTGATCTTTTTAGACTCAATATAATAAGTTCTGCATTAAGCCTTGGTTTGAGTTAACCATTAGTATGAAGGACACATTACCTGAATGCTCTGTTCAGAGAACATCATTGTACTTTTAAACAAAGTTGGTTCCCGGGTCGCCGACCATGACAGCAGACGTTGTTGGAGACTGAACAGAATGTCCTGTCGCCCTCCTCGCAGATCTACCAGTACATCCAGAGCAGGTTCTACCGCTCCCCCGAGGTCCTGTTGGGAATGCCGTATGACCTGGCCATCGACATGTGGTCTCTGGGATGCATCCTGGTGGAGATGCACACAGGAGAGCCTCTCTTCAGCGGCTCCAACGAGGTAAAAGCAGCTGGCCGACGGCTCTGTGTCCTCTGGTCCACATTCCTGTTTGATTCAGCTAATTATGAGTGCGTGTGTTGGTTTAGGTTGACCAGATGAATAAGATTGTGGAGGTTCTGGGGGTCCCACCCAGCCACATGCTGGATGCAGCCCCTAAGGCCAGGAAGTACTTTGACAAGCTGTCAGACGGCCTGTGGACAGTGAAGAAGAACAAGGACATCAAGAAGGTATTTGAGACTCCTTCCCCCTTTTAGCCTTGTGACAAGGCCAATAGATACCAAATAAAGATGTGCTCATTTACAAACATTTCCAGTTAGAGAACATCGGTTGTACCATTCATGTTTCATTTTGTTGACATATTTAAGTCAATGGTTTTTAGTGGATTATTTTTTTATATATGGATTATTTTATAGAAATCGGCGATTAAAGATACATATTGAGAATGATGTACAGGGGGATATGGTGTATAAATATCTCTATAAAACCTCCCAGGTGATTACATTCAAGGGTGTATACTGTTTATTTGAATTACTTAATTACTTGAATTAATAAATTTTTTAGATTTCATGTTTTAAATATGCAATTGAGGCAAAACACTTATTTTCCACAAATCTGAATTAGGAAATGGTCTGAAATCCAAATCATCAAGTGCATGAAAAGCCAGTAGTTTGCCTGTAGTGTCCCATCTTAAGCAATAGGTGGCAGCAGGTGAATAAAGTCACTGTGAAGCACATTCAGGCCTTTTAACATTACACAACAGATTGTCGACAATTTCACTGGGAAAATAATGAGACAACGTTCCTCACGTCTTTGGATGATTAGATCTCTGCCTCTGTCTAAATGTGTGTGTGTGTGTGTGTGTGTGTGTGTGTGTGTGTGTGTGTGTTCCAGGAGTACAAGCCTCCAGCCACTCGGCGTCTTCATGAGATTTTGGGTGTAGAAACTGGTGGCCCAGGAGGGCGGAGGGCAGGGGAGCCAGGACACGCCCCCTGTGACTACCTGAAGTTCAAAGGTCAGATCTGATGAGTTTAGACTTATATTTACAAAATGTCTTTCTAAGATATTTTTTAAAACATCCAATATGGCAGCGGCCCATTCCATATAAATGGAAAGGCGATGGTTTATTGAGCATGCCGACATGTTCTGATGTCCAGCTTCTTCACCCTGCAAAGAGCCGAAACAGAACCGCTGTTGTTTGTCCTCTTTCAGACCTGATCCTGCGCATGCTGGACTACGACCCGAAAAGCCGCATCACGCCATTCTACGCCCTCCAGCACAACTTCTTCAAGAAGACGACAGATGAAGGAACCAACACCAGTTCATCTACATCCACCTCTCCTGCCATGGACCACTCCCATTCAACCTCCACTACTAGCTCTGTTTCTAGCTCTGGTAAAGGAAATGACTACAGCGCAGAGGGGGGAGATGGTGCATGAGAAGCCCGGCACATTATGTAAACCACGTTAGGGGGCGGGCAGACAAAAGAAAGCCATTCACAGAAGAAACAAGTTCTGAATCGATTCCCAACTTCTGGAAATACATTTATTTCAAAGTTTTATTTAAAGCATTATTGTGTGATTGGTTGAAAACTAACCGTTTCACAGATTTATGAGTCCGTCCTTGTACCCCTTGATCAGACTGTGAGGCACATTTCAAAGCCATGAAAAAGTGAATCAACTGTGTCTCCACAAAAGCCATCGGCAGCGCGGGTCTGAAGCGCTCTGTTGTGTTTCCAGGTGGCTCCAGTGGTTCTTCCAATGACAACCGCAACTACCGCTACAGTAACCGCTACTACAACTCTGCTGTTACACATTCGGACTATGAGATGACCAGCCCTCAGGTACGCACAGCGCAGAGGGGATGGGGTGGGGGCTGTCAAATGAGAAATGTATTCATGACTCGGGTCCTGAGCAGGGTCCACATTTCCTCCAGCGGAACCGGACACAACACATGCGTGCTGCACGTCTGTCACTCTGAATGCATCTCACCTCTGTGTCCCCCCCCCCCCTCCCACCAGGCTCCCTCCCAGCAGCAGATGAGGATGTGGCCAGGCAGTGATGGTGGAGGTGGGGGTCAGGACCCAGCATACACCCAGTTGCTGCTCCACAAGCCGGCTGCCTCCCAACAGCACCAGCGCCACTTCCTGGACCCGCCCCACCACCCACACCCGACCTACTCCCACCACGGGAACGGCGGGCGCGGCCTGCGCCAGAGCGGACAGACGGGCATCGGCGGAGGGGGGGGCCAGCAGGGCTCCTCGCCCCAGATGAGTGACAGCATGGATGTGGGCGTGTCCCTAGGGCTGCACCACCTGGGGGCGGTGTCTTCCATGGAGGCCTCTCAGTTCGGCTCGGCCTCCCTGCCCCTCGCTCTGCCAATCGGACTGTCTGCCTTCCGGACTCGGACGGCCCCCACCGCCCCAGGGCCACAAGCCCCGCCCCCTGAGGACTACTACCCTGCCTCCAACAACAATAACCCCGCTGCGGGGGGCAGAGGGAGGCCGGACTCAGACGAGGGGCCAGCCAACTCTTGATAAAACCTGAACCATGCCCTAAAGCCATACAATTTTAACTACAACTACTACAACTACACACATACAGCCAGAGTTCAGAGACAAAGAGGTGAACTTTGTGCTGAAGGAGACAGTTTGTACTGCATGAGAGGAGGAGGAGGAGGAGGGAGAAGGAGGAGGAAGATGATGCTGGGAAAAACTCTCCCTTTTTATCCCGTTTTAGTTTGTTGTCCTTCTGTTGCGACTGTAATTGGAAAGGAATGATTGTGACGAGTTTGTTTTTATTAATATTATTATTATTGTTTAATATTGTTTGATTTTTTTTCGGGTTTGAGGAGTTGCGTGTTCTACTTGGTTGTTGTTTAAGCCTGGAGAGGAGGAGGAGGAAGAAACAGAGAGAGGAGCTATGCTTTTCCATTTCACTTCATGTGGAGGGTGCAAGTGGAAGGTCACATGTTCACGGTCTCACTGGTTAGTTCTGACATTAGTGAATTCATATTTACAGTCCAGAGAGACGAGCAGTCTTAACACACACACACACACATACACATTTAGCGCTGCATCAAGAAGACAGAAGCTGGTTTCAAAGGGAGAAAACGTCAACCTGTGTGTGCTTCAGGACTCCTGTCTGTGTTAAACTCACTTTTTCTTTGAGTTTTCGCGTCCTCCCTCCGTCGCTCTCCACCTGGCTGTGACGGAGGGAGGGAGGGAGGGAGGTGGAGGGAAGAGAAGGTGGCAGGACACTGATGCCTTCCTGGCGCTCATAGAGATCTCCTCCTCATCCTCTCCCTCCCCTTGTTCTCTTCTTCCTCTCCTCCTCCTCCTGTTGTGTTTCTCCTCCAGACAGCTCCTCCTCTCTGTGCTGCTAATCACCATGACAACTGGTCCGGATTGCTGCTAAAGATCCAACACAGATCAATAAAGAAATAAAAAGAAATAGAAACAGAAATAAAAAAAAATAAAAAAAACTTTTTAACCCTTCTGCTTAAGAGAAAAGGATAAAGTAAGAACCACTGCATCTCAATGTATTTATTACTATTTAACAAGAAAAAACAAACTGAAAGTAACCCTTTTTTCTGCTCTTCTTTGTTTGGTTGCCTTCTTTCTGCAGGTGAGCTCTGATTGGCTATTGTAACAGTGACAGTAACTGGTGACATGGGAATGCCACCAGTTGTGGGGGCTGGGTGGAGGGGAGGGGTTTGGGGCAAAATAAAGTTGGATATATAATAAGAATAAAGAGTATACTTTTGCACACCAAAGTCAAACAAACATGGGATCTCCGCTTTTCTTCCTACTGATCCACCACCTCATGACCTGTCGTCCTGTCAGGAGGGGGCTCGTCCACAGGTCACGCAGGGAGCTCCTCTGGTGCCTTTGCACCTCCTACGGGACCCAAGGCCGGAAACCAACGTGGTCCTAATTCCATAAATATGTGAAACGCAAGATAAATAATAGCGTGGGTGAACACACACCGGGAACAATCCCAACCAGCTGCTGTTTGATTAATAGACAAAAACGGATTAAAAAAATGTATTTTAAAATAGAGGATAAAAACTGATCACAGTTCATGAAAGAAATTATGAGCTGACCATTAAAAGATGAATTGGATTCATTACCAATTTTTGGATTATACCTTTTTGTATCATTCATTTTATGTTAATTTAGATTTCCTTTGAGTAAAAAATCTTTTGTAAAGTTTATTATCAAAAAGGGTTTGATTTTTTGGTGGATTTCTGCAACAGCTGCATTAACTATTCTATTGATTGCATTCTTCAGATTCCAGGTTTTATTTTGAAACTTAAGCAGAGTTCATCCCGCTGCGGTCAAAAATGAATCTGATTCCGGAGACAAACTGACGGCCTACGCGATGTCTGATAGTGAGAGGTGTCTGCTCAGCTGGACTATTATTTCTGAAAGAATTAGCTGAGACATGTTTTGTGAGCAGGTTTTCAGAAGGAAGCTACTGACTTAAATACAAGTGTTGCATGTTAAAATGGCCGATTACAAACGCTCCACAGCTACCAGAAGATGGGAGGCTTTGGTTTCTGTGTGTTATGTTTTCAAAAACAACACCAAACTGTCTCATAAATACTGCACGCCGTATTGGTCAACTCCCTACGCGAGGAACAACAGAGACAATAGATGTATCACCATGCTGACCAGGCCAGATCACCATGGTAACCTGCTACAGACCAGGCGCCTGTACTGGAAACAGATGTAAAGGGCTCACTCACCATCTTCAGGCTTAACTGATCAGATCAAAACCTCTAAATTCCTCACAACAGGATCCTGACCGGGACAAAGTTCCTGCGTTTCCAGGAGATCTACATGAAACGGCTTCTAACAAACGGAACGGGAGTTAACATCACTTTGGCGTCCCTTTAGTTCTGAGTGACACGAGGCAGCTTTTTGATTAGCATGTGAAAAGAGGATGTCCTTTATTAGAAAACTAATAAGAAAAGCGAACACTTGATGCACTTTTTCCTTCTCCTCGTTTTCCTGCTTTGAGAAAGGCTGGCGTGTGTCACACACTCAGCGGTGTGTATATTATGAAACAAAAACGTACAAATACTTTCACTGTCTATTATAATGAAAATGACAATAATCCCAGCATTGTTTTAGCCTCCCCTGAAAAAGAAGGGATGAAATCCGCAGCCCTCGAACTGTATAACCTCCTCCCCCCGACTACGCCTCGATATCCTGTCCATGAAAACCACAAACAGGATTGGTGAGAGTGCGCAGCCCTGGCGAAGGTCAACCTCCACCGGAAACGCCTCTGACTTACTGCCGAGCACCCGAACACAGCTCTCGCTTTGGGTGTATAGGGATTGGATGGCCCCAAGTAGGTACCCCCTCACCCCGTACTCCTGCAGCACCTCCCACATTATCTCCCGATAATGTTGACGTGGCGCAGGGGTAGAGAGGGTGCTTTGGATAACAGCGTCAGCTAAATGACCTGTAATGTAATGTAATCTCTCGGGGGACCCGGTCATACGCCTTCTCCAGGTTCACAAAACACATACACAGACTGGAGGAGCATACTCCCATGCCCCCTCCATGAGCCTTTAAAGAGTAAAAAGCTGGTCCGTCGTTCCACGGCCAGGACAAAAAACGCATTGTTCCGCTTCAATCCTTGGTTCCTTGGCATCGACCTAACCCTCCTTTCCAGCACCTTGGAGTAGACTTTACCAGGGAGTAGTGTGATACCTCTGTAATTGGCACACTCTCTGGTCCCCCTTTTTGAAGAAGACAGGTACCACCACCCAGTCTGCCACTCTTTGGCAGACTTCCACGCAATGTTGAAGAGGCGTGTCATCCATGACACCCCCCCGAGACCCATTGCTTTCAGCATCTCCGGACGAATCTCATCAATCCCCGGGGCTCCAGCTCTGCCTCTACCAAAGAGGGCATAGTAGTTGGATTCAGGAGTTCCTCAAAGTGTCAAAGGCCTCCTTCAGTCGTACGGCTCCCCAGACCACCGGCGTCCACCAGGGGGTTCGAGGGTCAGTGACCTTTGTTGCACCTAAGACCTTGAGGCCACAACTCACTGCAGCAGCTTCAGCAATGGAAGTTTTGAACATACACCACTCTGGTTCAATGTCCCCTACCTCCATAGGAATGTGACAGAAGCTTCGCCGGTGTGAGTTGAAAATCTTTTGCACCGGGGCCTCCTCCAGACATTCGCAGCTCACCTGTACCATAGTACCACTTGGGTTTACCAGGTCCGTCCTGAGTCTTCCCCCATCCTCTGACCCAGCTCACCACCAGATGGTGATCAGTTGACAGCTCTGCCACTCTCTTTACCCGAGTGTCCAAAGCATGCGGCCTCAGATCAGACGATACGATTACAAAATTGATCTTTAGCCTCGGGTGCTCTGGTACCAGGTACACTTATGAACATCCATATGCTGGATCATGGTGTTTGTTATGGACAATCCGTGAAACAGACAACAGACAGGCAAAGTACGGAGGTGATTAACGCGTCACGATGACGTCATCCACGAACCCAGAACGCTCACATCGGTGCAGCGGTGCTTCTTGTGCACCGACTACGGACCGCGACGACTATTTTACGCTTCGGCGAGTTTGAATGTGGCTTCCTTAGTTTAGCTCAGCTGTCTCGGGTTAGCTGACTGTTAGCAGGCTGAAGCCGCGCTGCTTCACAGAAACATGAAGACCCGTTTAACAGACTGTCGGCCAGCAGAGATCCATACGGACCTTTCTGCTCGGTTCTCTGGCGACGGTAGGCAGCGTTTCCTCAGCTGGATGAGACGGTCCGTTACAGTCTTCTCCAAACACGTCTAACATAATAAACTCATTGCAGGTTCTGAAGCCTCACACATTGACCGTGAGACACACGCATTTCAACTATAGACAAGTTTCCTGAGTGAAATAGGCGAGCCGCCATTGGCCTTTCACTCTGCCAACGACTTCCGGTTGTGTCTGCCAAGCACTTCCGGTTAGCGAGTTAGCGTCTTTTACTGTCTTTGGTTAGCGTGCAGAAAAAGTAATGGTGGTGTTACATGCCGACACGGCTCCGGGACATATTGTGCTGTTCACGGTTGCAACAACTCGTGGCGATTGCTGAATGTTTGGTCGGAAGGAGAATGTTTCGACCATCAACCATCTACAAGGCGCCAATGTGGATGTGCTGTTTTGCGGTAAAATGCTATAGATTTGCACTCAAATACAGGAGGCTTATCATTCGCGGAAGTCAACAGTCTACTAATTATTACGCAGACGAATGTCAGCTTTTTCAAGTAAGTTAATACCTTTATCCATTCCGAAGCTATTAATAGATATGTCAGGGGTGCGCACTGACGCTCGTCAGTCGACTTTGAAGGGTTAAAGCATGCTTTTAGTGCAGGCAGGCTAGAGGGGATTGGGATTACTTTTTCTTTTTATTACTCTTCGTGTTCTGTTATATATTAACACACGGATACATACAAACATCTTGGGCTAACGTACCTTCCAAAGCACGGCGGCTGCATGGCTACAGCAACGTCCAAGTCCGGCGATACAGGTACAGCCTGCAGTCTCCACATCTCCCGTCTTGGTAACCAAAACCCAGGCGTTATGCGCTGAATTGTTAACGGACTGGCTTGGTTGAACATCGGCCTTTAGGTAAATTAAACTGCCCATATCGTGTAAAAGTACACAACCCACTTTGTCGGAATGGAGGTACTGAAACGCCTCTGAGCTTTTCAGGTCATTAATTGCATTCCCATCCACCGCCATGGAATCAATAAAATAAGAAAAGATCTTGGATGTTGTGATGCTGGGCCATATCGACATGTTGTCCGCCCATGATGTTACCTTACTTGGATGCGGAATGGTCAAAACACCATTAACAAGATTTTCGGTCGAATGTTGCCATTCCAAAGCCATTTTTAACACCACTATTCAGCCTGCGCCGGAAGTTCTTGGCAGAAACTGGAAATGCCCGGGAAACTTGTCTATAGTTCACACGCCACATCGTGAGAAGACGCTGTTAAACCGTCTCGGCCACCGTACATTCGTTACTAAGCAACATAGAGGCGCTCACACACGTGACAGGTGGATCCTTTTGGCAGAAGTGCGCAGTGCAGGTGAAGGACGTGGCGGCACAGAGCAGGTGGAGGAAAACCCGCAGGACACAAGAGAGAAGAACTGGTCATGAAAGCAACAAATAAACGAAGAGACAAAGAGAAAGAAAAGACTCCATCCATCCATCTTCAGCCGCTTATCCGGGGTCGGGTCGCGGGGGCAACAACTCCAGCAGGGGACCCCAAACTTCCCTTTCCTGGGCCACGTCTACCAGCTCTGACTTGGGGATCCCAAGGCGTTCCCAGGCCAGTGCAGAGATAATCTCTCCACCTAGTCCTGGGTGTTCCCTGGGGCCTCTTCCCAGCTGGTCGTGCCTGAAACAAGGTTATTAGTTTTGAATATTTCACTAGTTTTTATTTTTATTTAGTTTTGACTTTTGGTTTTCAATTTCAGTTTAGTTTTAATTAGATTTTAAAGCGGGTTTGCTAGTTTATTTTATTTTTTGAAAATGCTTAGTTTTAGTCTTTACCGCAGAATGTAACAGACCAAGGGGGGGGGGGGGGGGGCATTCAGGGAAGCTTTATTTTTGCTTGCAAAACAGAATGCTCAAAATGAATTGTAGATACTATAATAAGTAATACAAACTCAAAACATACCATTTAAAAAAATGCATTTAGGACAGATGAAAAGCCATCCACAAAAGACAACTATGAAATATGTGTCAGTCAGTGTGTTTGTC